ATGGCATGGTTTTGTAGAGAATTCAATAAGGAATCTTTTGGAAAAAGATTTGGATCGATAGGATAAAAGCCGGCGGAGTTATATTCAAAATACGGGAGTGCGTTTATTTATGCGCCACCCGTTAGATGGCAACTAGTCATGTATCGCCCGATTATAGACGAAATGTATCTAGATTTTTCCCATAGGTGATATTTGCTTGGAAAGAGAACTAGAGAGGATTGATTCTCTCAGATGCAGAAATAATCTATATAGGCAAATTTCTAAAACTTAGTCATATGCCTTGAAATTATCTTTTTCCAGTGGTGGCTGAATGGTTAACATCTCTATACGTATATGATATTACCAGAACACTGACATTTCGTCTTTGCGAATTTTTAAATTTTACCAATAATGAGGCTGATTATCCAGCTTCACAGAGCTTTTTTTAATACCTTTTGAATTCCTAATTTTTGTATTAATAAAAATTGTGCATTAACAAAATCTTCTACAGATAAAATTGGAAATGAACTACCATATGGACAATTTGTTTTTGGATTTATTGAAGATGGTCCACTAAAGGGTAATTTGTCGTTTCTATAATTAATGAATTTAACACAAGAAGGAAACTCACGTTGTACCATAACATCCGCCAATATGATTACAACAAATAACAAACAAATGATTTGTATCAATTGCTAATCCCGGACCAATAAATTGTTCCCACCAACCGGTACACAAATGCGCCTACAACAATAGTAAAGAAAAGAAGTATTGACATGGTGAATTTCCATGTGTTATCATTATCTGCGTTTTGCTAAACCAGAAGAGGCCCTGTACGAAAGTTGCCCTCACAGGATATACCTGCTCTCTTATGTGGTTGTGGCCCGCGCGATCTATTCGAACCTCGAGAATGCTCGACTATCAGTTGCAGCCACTGTTAAGAAGACCTAAACTTTCTAACAGAGTCGAAGGTTTCCTTTGCCTCAAACGTGTCAAAGGTGATTTTCCAAAAGCTAGAAATTTTCAGAAATCTTAGGAATTTTTAGGGAAATAGATCTGTCACACAGATGTTCGATTTGTGGTTTGAACGGCAGCGGAGCGACGGCCGTGTAAGGCTTCGAGGAGAGTACTTTTCATACGGCGCATCTTTCACACATTTCTACCGATCTTGTTCTCTTACCTCATGACTCTTAGCGTGTGAACTAGCTTCTAGACTAGTAAATATAAGTACGGCATTAGTTTTTTTTTTATCTAATTCTCCCCATGTTTCATAAGCTAATTGAAATTTATCTAAGAATGCATTATTATATTTTAATTTAAATTCATTGTCATAGTTAAATATTTGATAACCACTAATAATACGTTTATAATACGCTGACCGTGTTGTACTGGTAATGGCGGTTTTGGATGAGCAGACTGGAAGCGTTAAAGCATCTACTTGATTCGTTAAATGTTCATTTGCTGTTGTTAATTCTAAGATTTTATTTTCAAATTGTTCAAATTTTTCTTTCATTTCATTGTCTTTGAAGGCCTAGAAGTACGAAAAAAAGATACACGTACTAACGGATTAAGAAGTCTAATAGTATGCTTATTCGTTTTGCCCCAAAAACAAATACTTCGGGGTTGTCCATAATACGCCTATGTACCTCAAAATAGACTGCGCTATATTGTACTATAGCGTATCGTGTTTAGATATTACACAAACTATAGTATGTAAGGTGCGCGCAATTCAAAACTTTAGCAAATTTTTTTTCTTCGATATTTATACATGGTTCGATGCAGCTCCTCGAGCTGAATCTGAATATGTGTGTTACAAGGTTTGAAATCAAGTTTTCAGGGCTAAAAACTCAAAATTCGAACACACTATAAATATATGTGCACACAGGAATCGAGATCTTTATTTATTCTATATTCGAAAGTAGCAGTGCTCACTGTGCATCTATTCTACACACACATATATCGATATATCTATATATATATATGTGTATAGAGATACCAAGATTTCATAACTATTGACTGTATTTTACCCATACTATAGTATATACTAAAAAGTGAATTTTTAAAATTTTACACAGTTCATCTGTAGTATATATCGATTAAGTGCAAATTATAATTACTACTTCGTGGCTAAAGATATTAATTTGTGGTTCACTCTCATTTACCGACTGTGCATATATATATAGCACTTTGGAGTAGATATTGTCCATTTCAAAAAGGAATGTTGGTATAGTGATTTGAATAACTCGAGAACGCAAAGAGCTATCAAGAATCGCCAGTGAAAATAATTTGAACTTTAATTGAAGAGCAAAGTCCATTCTATAAGATTATCGTTTTGTGAAAGAAAGTTTTGTGCCTTAAATTGAGGCGGTTTTTTCAGAAACCATGTAGTCTTCCATGGTATTTGACTGGTCAAATTACATCCTTTTTTCTTCAAAATTTTCTGCCTGATAGAAGAAATTTCGAAGAATCGAATAAGCTCAATGTTTTCTTCACCATTCGATGGGTCTGAAAGCTTGAGCAATCAGATTGCGAACTCTTGATAGTTAAAAAGTGGAGAAAAAGTCTTGAATGTAGCACAGCGATTATTTTTAATCAGTTCTAGGCAACTTTCACCTATGTGATGAAGTTCAGCATTCTAAACAACTTTATCATTTAGTATAATACCAAACTCAACTCTGAGAGACGATACAGCTTTGTCTCTGGGATACCATGTATTTCAGTGGAGTGCCTCCTCTTACCTCAAAGAAATTACACGAGTGCCACGATTTATCCCAATGTATAAAAATAGTCAAATACTATCCACACTAATGTCCATTTCAAAAACGAATGTGGGTGATTGTGATTTGAATAGCTCGAGAACGCAAAGAGTCATCAAGATAGGATTTTTACCATCGTGTAGCCAAGCGTATGGGATGTAACTGTATATAGGAACCAAGGTTCTTAGGCGGACTTCAGAAGGTTTTTCAGGAAGGTTTTTGTGAAACTATCAATCGGGAAAGCTTTTGTGTGTTTTCGATCAAAATGAGTCATTTGGTAGCCCAGAGTCTCCTCTACAAAGTTACGCAAGCTACACATTTTCCATTCTTTTGTTCGGCACCGAGAACTGACGCGCCGGGATCCCCAAAAGGCACGCTTTTTGACTCGGTGAGGATCTGATTCGCATGAAAACATGGGTTTTTGACCACGCTGAACCCTATGGCAATGCTTGTTTCCCGAAAAGGCTTCCAAAACTAGTGAAAACCTATACTAGACGAAATAATCCATTTTCACTACTTTTACCGAGCTTTAAAAAATTCATACCTTACTCAAAATTGTTCCAGACCCCTTCAGAATATTAACATATACGCAGTTTTACCTGTTTAAGTATATTCTATAGTAGGGATTGGTACAAAACATCTCCTTACTCCAAAAGCTTTCTAGAAAACCTTTCGAAAGCCGAAGTACTTTCTGTCGGTTTTTGAAACTGTTACTGAACTTTATGGTATAGCGCAGATAAAACCGCGTATATGTTAATATTTTGACGCAGTCTGAAATAGTTTTGAGTGAAAGGTACGCTTTTTGACTCGGTGAAGCTCGGATTTGCATGAAAACATGGATTTTCGACCACTGTGCATATATATATATATACAGTCGGTAAGTGAAAGTGAGCCACACGCTAATATTTCCAGCCACGAAGCAGCAATTGTGATTTCAAGTAATAGTAGTTTTAATTTACCTGCTCTTCTTTGAATGTTTTATATTGTGTTTCAACGTGTTTTAATCTCAAATATTCAGTTTTAAATATGTCTACATTTGTAGCCATTTATATCTGGAATAACAAGAAAAAAAGAGAAAACATATTGGAATTTGTTTGAATCGCTTTCTTTTAAATGAAGTTAGAATAAAAAACTTTGTTGTGTTAACTGAAAACAAAACAAAACCAAAAAATGAAGGAGAACTATGCTAGCTCTGGCCGCTAGATGGAAAGGACCAAAAAAAGTCTAACCTTACTTCTTTGTCCTAACTTCAAGCAGAACACCTCTCTAGAACCTATTTCTCTTGTAAAAACCTTGAATAGTATTCAAAGAATGTGAATGCAGTGACCGTAACAAAAAATTTCAAAACTTGGTGCTATGAATTTACATATCTCCTCCTTTTCTCATTCATCCACGAAGATTTACGATAAATGGGATACAAAAAGCGAAATCTATCAAAAAGGCCAAACGAAATAAAATTCACAATAAATGTAAGGTGCCGCTAATTCAAAAATCAAGCACTCTTCATTTTTCCTTGAAAGACACATCATCCGATGCAGAATTTTGTGCTGATTACGAATATCACCTTTTTAGTTCGATTTGTTTGAGTTTTGTG